GCAGCCGAGCGGAGCCGCCGAGCGCCGGCACCGCGGCCCCGCCCGCGCCGCCTTCCTCCTCCTCCTCCTCCTCCAACACCGCCCTCGGGGCGGGGAGCTGCCCCCCGGCACCCGGCGGCGGCCCTGGGGACCCAGGGGTGCCGCGGCTGGCGGGGCTTGGCACCCAGGAAGGGCTGCGCTTGGCACCCAGGAAGGGCCGCGCATCGGCCCCGCGGGGAGGAGCGCGCCCGGAGGGAGCCCTGGCGCGGCCCTCGGGACCCACCGCTGGGGCTGGGGGCTTCGCCTGGGGCTGCCCCCACGAGGTCTGGGACATGGGTGCAGAGCGACAGGGCGGCTGCAGCGGGTGTCCCCCCGGACAGAGGATCCACCACAAAACACCGCCCGAGCGGGTCCCGGACAGGTTGTGCACCCAGAGCGAGACACGGCCCCCAGCAGCCGGAAACCGAAAGCAGAGCCGAGGCACCAGCGGGGCTGCCACCACCACTGGCCTCCCCACGCTCATCCCTCTCATCCTGCTCCCCTGCTCATCCCGCTCTGCTTCCCTGACCGCGCTCCCTAGCACACCCGGACAAATCCATGCAGAGAGCCAGGGCTGATGCCTCACCCCAAAACCCACCCATCAACATCGCCCTCCCCTCGAGTTTCCCTGAGAGAGGTGGCCCCGGCCACCCTGGCCACCACCACCCGCCTGCGCTTTGTGAGTGCCTGGAGCCTGGCTCGCTTTCCCGGGAACACGGGGCCGCTCCGGAGCGGGTGGACATGGCGCAAAGCTACCCCGTGCACCTGCAGCAAAGCAAAACTCTCCTGCTTATTCCAGCACCACCCCCAGGGAGCAAGGGTGGCTCCAACCAGCTCCTACCGTAAATCCGATGCCCACAGTGGCGGAGAAGGAGCCTGGAAGAAACTTGCCCTGGTCAAACTGGACGAGCAGGGACGTCTTGCCCACGCCGCTGTCCCCAACCAGGATGGTCTGCAAGGAGGCAAGGAAAAGGTGTCGGCACAAGGGGGAGCTGGGGATGCCAGGGCCTGTGTGCAATGAGCTGCTGTCAGGTCTCAGCACATCCATTGAGAAAGGTGAAGGGGTGTGGAGGCAGCTCGGAGCCAGCACCAGCACCAGGAGGGGACAGCCCAGCATAGGGACCCTGCTGTCCCTTGCACATCCTCGCTGGGGAGCAGATTGTCACCACAGGCGGCTGGCCTCCCATGCAGGGACCAGATGGTTCATCACGCTGTGCCTTGTCCTTTGCTGTCACCCTCTCTGGGGCAAAATTTCCACCTTTTGGCCACAGAATAAGTGAAATCACCCAGGGCTGAGCCCCCCTGTGCCCACCCCACAGCGGGAAGCAGCCGCACGACACAAGTCCTTCCATCAAAGGGACCAACATCCCCCCCGGAGCTGGAGATGCAGAGCAAACCGGTGCGCGGAGGCCAAGGTGGAGGCCACCCGGCCAGCTCGGCAGCAGAGGGGACGTGACTCGGGGCGCAGAGTCCCCCCACTTTCTGTCCCTGTATGGCCGAGTCCTGCTGTTCTCCCGCAGGGAGCAGGAGGTGGTGGCCTTGCAGAGGGGACGAGTGACCTGCCCTGGGTCCTGGTCGCTGCCCAGGATGAGGGCGCAAGTTGCAAATGAGAAACACTGGTTTTGTTTGCAATGGATTTGTCTGCACAGCTGCAGGTGAAAACACGTCCACCTCCGGCCACTTTGAATCCAGGGATATAGGGGAAAATAAATGCTCTGTGAAGCCATGCCTTGCTCCATCCATCAGTGCTCCCACTGCCCACTGCCCACAGCCCCAGGAAATTGTCCCCAGGGTGGCCACTCTCTCTGTTGTCACATCCCCAGGGCTGCAACTCTAGGGCTGCTCTTAGTCCAGTGCAATTCACCACGGTGCTGGAGCCCCGGCTCCAACACACTTGTAGGGATTAATGGAATGATTAGTGGATGTAGGGATTAGGGCAGCCCTCGTTGGTGCCGTGCAGGCATCGCAGGGCAGGTCGCAACATCCCACAGAGCCTGGAGGAACCAACGGAGAGCGAGACGCCGAGGAGCCCGAGCCGGGCTGGCAGGAGACCAGCCTCCCGCCTTGCATAAATCAGAACCATCCCTGCCCGGGGCCCGTCACGCTCCAGTGCGACGCTTGCTTCAATGAATCAGCATTTTCCCACAAAAAAAAAAAAAAAAAAAAAAAAAAAAAAAAAAAGAAAAGAAAGAAAAGAGAAGGAAGCAAACCCAAATCGCATGTTTCTCCAAAGAAAACTCCTGACCCGAGCAGAGTGGTAGGGGGTGAAGCTCTGCTCCTGGGAGTGCACGCGTGCGCCCACAGACAGCCGCCTGCCACCACATCCGCTCCCGGGAATTCGCCCGCTCTCCCTGAGTGCGTGCCAGGTATCTTTTTCAGGTCACTGGTCCATGGGGAACAGCCTCGCGGGCCGAGTTCACACACCCGGGGCTCCCGGAGAGCCGGCTCCGCTGTCCCCGGCATAGAGACCATTCCCTGGGAAAATGCCCTGCACGGAGGTCAGCGCGAGCAGCCCCGGCATCGCGGGGGGCAGCTCCCGCAGGAGATGGCATCAATTATGGAGCGAGGAAGTAGGCTGGAAGGAGCACCGGGAAGGCTCCGCGGGCTGGGATTTACAGAGAACTTGTGTAAGAGCCGACTCTCCCATCAATAATTTAACTGGGATTTATAATAGATACAACTCAAGGATTGCTGCATTACTTAATAATAATAGGAAATTTGGCCTGAAAGAGCCCAGAGCTCAGCGGCAGCTGAGAGAAACCTCCGGCTGGGCATGCCCAAGGAAAAGGCTTCCAGCTGCAAAGCTCCGTATTTGCCCCGTGCCCTTTCAACACCCTCTTCCACATGAGTCCCACCGCAGAGCGGACAGCACGTGCTGTTTTCCCAGATGTTTTCCCTGGGGATTTCTTCAGCTCCAGCATTAGGAGGCTGCTTCCAGTGGCTGCTCCCCACGTGGAGCGGTGCTTTGCTCACGTGCAGTGCACACGTGTGCCACATGCTCCGTGCGGGACCCTGCGACAACCTTTGTCCCTGTCCCATCCAGAGGGAAACCAAGCGAGGGAAGCCCTCAAAGCACCACCCTGCTCCCTGGCACAGCTGGAGAATCCAAGCAATTCCTGTTTCCAAACAAATAAAGTGATTCTTTAAATGCAAAATAAAACTACTCTGTTAAAACCTGCTCGAGATTCAACTTAAAACACACATGTGGTAGTCTGAGGCTGAGAAAGCCATTGATGGGCATTGAGGAGGGAGCAATTTCATGGCACCGCTCACCCGCGTGCCGAGGCCGGCACCATGCCCGCTTCTCCATGGCATGGATAGAAAAGCGGTCACGGTTTGCCATAAAAAACAACAAAGCAGACCCGGGTTAGGAAAACAGCAAATATCCCTCCCTGACACCGCGACCGGGAGCTTCAGCGAGCTCAGACCGAGACAAACAGCCTCGCTTGGAAGCCTCCACTGACTCGGCAGGGGCTGCAGAGAAAGAGGACAGGGAGTGACAAGGGCGAAGCAGGCGGCAACGCACGCTGTCTGCTTGCTGAGATGTCCCTGGGCTACGCTGGCAGCTCGGGAGCCAGGAACGGGAAGATCCTGGCCCTACTGTGCCTGCAGAAGAGCAGTTGTGCACGGCTGTCTAGGCAGCTTAGGGCTGCGGCGCTTCCCGCCAGCCAAGCGGCAGCGGATCTGGGGTAGCATGTGTGGGTTTCGGCTACATTAACAGCTCCTTTCTGAGCTTTAGTGCACGATGGCTGCATCAGAGCTGACGTTTAGGAATCCAGGGATCTAGAGATTCAGCTAAGAGTCTGACATGGAAAAGCCCTTGCAGGGAGGGGACTCGTCGCCTCCTCATGCTGCTCCCCAGGAGCTGCTGGAGCCCCAGATGCCAATATTTGTTCCCAGGTCAGCAGAATTTGTCACAATATTGCAGAAATTGCACCCGGGCACCTCTTGGCCCCTCGCAGCCCCGCGTTCCTGCTCTCACAGGAACGTTTTGCCCAGACCTATTTTTACCTGCTCTACATGCAGAATCGAGCTCTGCCTCCCCTGCTCCCGCATCGCTCCCCAGGGCCACTCGGATGCTGCTCGACCCTCCCTTTGCCACAGCCAGGTCTCCTAGCTGTCCCACCAGCCTGGGTGCTCTTTTGCCTTGGTCAAACCCTCAGGTGCTTCCAGCTAAATGGGTCAAACTTCCAGCAGGAGGAAAAATAGAAACTGAAAGAGTTAAATCACCCGAAAACAGAACTTGTCATTTTGTGCCAAGTGTTCCTATCTTGATTTGCCCCTGGCCAATCGCGTCTCCATCCTGGATTTAGCCACAGACTGGGATTCACTTAACCTTTGCCTCCCCATTAAGATCTCTTAGGGTTTCTCAGCAGATCTGAAACACGATGCCTCAGTCAGGAGCAAGGAGAGTTATTTGCTGCCTCATGTCCCTAGGGTGAGAACGAGCTTGTTTCTGCATGAAAAGCCCTCTTGGAAACAGCAGCGAAATACCAAGGGAAATGGCAAAGAACATGGGACAGGGATGGTCATACAGCTCAGCAGCTATTCTGCCTGGAAACTCAGCCCCGTGAATATTTTTCCTTAAATGCAGCTCATTGCTGAAGAAAGAAGAGTTGAGACTGTAAAGAATCAAAGTTTCTCCATTCGTGGCTGGCCATGTCCTCCCTATTTGGCATACAAGTTCCTAGTGAGTGGTCTTGGCCTCTTCATCCAGGGCCTGGGCATGTTGCCCTGGGTAGTTCCCTTGAGTGGGGAAATCTCTGGGTAAAAAACAGACCGGGACTTGGAGAAAAAAAAAAAAAAAAAAAAAAGAGAGAGAGAGAGAGAGCAATTCACTCAACCCTGTCCCTCCCTGCAGCAAAGCAGTGCTGGGACAGCAGAAAGGATGGGTGGGATGATCTGGTAGGGGACTAGTCTCTTCCCATGTCTCAGGGATGGATGCTCTGCTCCTGGAGAGCTGCAGCCCTTGGATTAAACGCAGTCCAAGGGATCCCACCGAGGAGAAAGGGGATTCAGGAGGGCAGGGGGGATATCTCTGGGACTCTTTCCTGGATTGCAAGTCCTGCCCGCCCGGCTGGCGCTGGGGCAGCGGCTGCGGCTGAGCCGCGGGGCTGGCTCCTGTCCAGCCGGGCCGGTCCTGCCGTTCCCCGCCGCTACCGAGCTCTGCGGGGCGCCCGGGAAGCGCGGCGGGGAGGGGGAACCGGCCCCGAGCCTGGACCGGGCCAGGGGAGGGGTTGCAGCCCCGGTAGCCGCGGAGGACGAGCCTCAATCGCGGGGAGCAGGGGGGCGACGGGGACCCCGCCTAGGGGCGCGGAGTTTGCGGGCGAGTTCAGGCAGGACCGCGATGGCGCCGCTCGCCCCTTACCTTGTGCAGCAGAGCCTCGTCGTAGCCGGGCCCCCCCGCGCCGCCGCGGGCCCCCATGGCCGGGGCGCATGGGCCGGCCCGGTTCTGCCCACCGCAGCCGCGGGCCTGGCCGGGGGAGCTCCCTGCAGCACCGCGGACAGCAGCGCCCCGGCCCCGACCCGGTTCGGCGCCGCGAGGCGGGACTCGGCCCGGCCCCGACCCGGTTCGGCACTGCGGAGAGAGACTCGACCCAGCCCCGGCCCGGTTCGGCGCTGCGGAGCGGGACTCGGCCGGTGCGGTTCGGCCCGGTTCGGTGCTGCGGGGCGCTGCCCGGCCCGGTTCGGCGCTGCAGAGCGGGACTCGGCCCGGCCCCGGCGCGGTTCGGTTCGGCCCGGTGCTGCGCGGCGCTGCCGGCCCCTCGCTGCCGCCGCTCGCAGGGCTCCTGGCGCGGGGCGGGCCGGGGGAGCCGTCCCGCCCGGGGACGGGGAGGGACCTGCGGCCGCCGGGGCGGGGGGCTCCGCAGCGGCTTGGCCGGCAGACACCGCCGCCCCCCATCAAACGCGAGCGGCTCCGCGTGCCCCCGGGCTCCCTGCAGTGGGGCACACGGGGGCTGCTCACCCTGCTCCTCGGGGAGCACCGGCCCCCCCTCTGCAAAGGCAGAAGCTGGCAGATGTTTCTGCAATGTCCCCTTGCAGCCCCCTCCATCGCATCCCCTCCCGCATCTTTGTCCCCTGTGCCACCTCCTCTGTCCCCCTGCACCCACCCATCGGGCTGCAAATGCAAAGGGTCCCCGTAGAGCTCTGCAAAGAGCCCCCTGCTCGGCTGCCGCTGCCCTGAAGGGCACGCGGGTCCTTCTCTACTCACAGCAAACGTTGCGCCTCTCTCGCCAGCGCTGAAGTTATCGACAAGCCCCGGGCAGGCTGGCTCTGGAAAGCAGCCCCAGGAAGAGAGAGGTTTCCTGCTGCCGGGTCACATCAAGCCGAGCCAGAGAGCGTGGAGCCAGATCCCAGCACGGAGCCGCGGACTGCTTCCCAGAAACGCTGCTCATCCCGCAGCCCCCAGCACGCACAGGTCAGACCGGACCAGCACCGTGCTGACCACGAAAGAACAGGGGAGAACCTCCCTGTTGAAACGCTTTGGAGACTCCAGTTCAGAGCCTCTATTAGAAACAGGAGAAATCCCTATTTGAACCTAGAGGAACCACCAATATCTCAATGAGATGTTTTTGTTTATAGCTCCCTTTTGAGTAATCAGGGGCTTTCGAGTAGGCTGGGAAGAGATGAATCTTGGAGAAGTTTATTTAAGCGAAACACGCTTCAGTCGCCGGTTGCCTCCTTCCAGATCAGCACACAGCCCTGAGCGAGAGCGGCGGACCGTGTTTCCACGAGCCATCTGCACCCATCCGGTAGCTGTTTGGCTGCCTGCGTCCGACAGGGCTAATTATATCTCCTCGTTAGTTCCTCTGACAGTGGGGACCGCTCTGCCAGGTCAGATGAGCAGTTTCTTCAAAAACCCTCCGAAAAGGGGAAGAAGGAGCAGGCAGGACAGGGGACTCCCAGGTTTGGGAGACCAAAGTCAGGCCAGGTTTGTGCTACAGCGGGGAGAAAACAGCCCTGGGAGTGGGAAGAATTTCCCCCAGGGAAGACTCAAGGAAGGTGCCGTGGTGCCCCCAGCTCCGTGGCTAGGGCTGCTCACCTTGCAATGGGAATCCCAGCACGTCCCTGCGGCAGGACAGCGGTTCACGGCCAGCAGAAGCTCCTCTCATTGCTCTCATCCACAGCAATATTTTTCCCCCCTTCTTTCTCAAGTGCTACAGGAGAGCAACAGACAGTCAGTGCTAAGCAAGGGCCGGACCAGGAGGAAGGAAACCCTCATAAACACGGATTTGTCTTTCCTGCTGCGGGCACCAGCAGCACATCAGAGACTCTCCTGGCCCTGCAGGTTTAACGGTACTCAGGAGGAGGATAATTCTCCTAATCCATCATGATATATTCCAGGTTAATGGAGCCTCTCCAGACAACACAGACCGCTAGCAAAAGGCAGCCAGTCACTGAGGGCAGCAAACACAGCTCTGCCCAGCACAGACTGGCACCACTCCAAGGGCTCCATAGCACTTCAGAGCCTGAGCAGTCCGGATACGGCAGCTTTATTGGAGCCAGCAGCCCAACACCTGCAGCACGTTCTGCTTTCTTCACCAGCCTCTCCCAGGCACAAGCAGAGCCCTTGACAAGTGCCACACAGCTGAAATCAGGGCAGAGATCAAAGTGGAAAGGACCCACAAGCTGCCCGAGCAATTTGAAGTGAATCTGCAAGTTCAAGCCCCATTGCTTGTAGACGGCACCTCTGATCAGCTCCAGTGCTTCTCTGCTCACCTTGAGTTTCAAAGTGTCATCCTTTGAGGCCATTAAATTCTGCTTTCTGCAATTTTTTGCAATAACCAGCCCCCGCCCTTCAGCCCTTTTCTAGCTAAGCAGTCCAGCCTAAGGCGCAAGGTAAGGCCTCCACTGCAATAAAACCTCTTTTCCTGGCTTTGCTAAGTCAGGAGATGTGGGGATGCTCCTGCTTTGTCCTGGTTATGTGAGATTGCAGCGGGAGAGGAGATCAGGTAGCGGGGGCTCGGCCGGGCAGCACTAAGGGAGCTCTCTTTGCTGTTATCATCCTCAGGCTCCTCTCTGAAGGACAATGTCACCAAAGGTGACAAAGTCGCGCACAGAAGCCTGAAATACTCGGGTTGTTATCTGCCTAGGGAAATGAAAGCGGGACAGGAAGCAGGGGGTGGCCGTAGGTTTCGGCAGCGCTTGGAGGGGACCTGGCCCGGCAGTTGCCACTGGAGCCCACAGAGCCCTCGGAGATGGGCGGGATGCTGGAAGGGCTGCTGCTCTGGACGTGGCTTCTCCTCCCAGGTGAGAGCAGCGTCTCGTGGCACTGGGGGGGTCACTGCGGTTGCTCAGAGCCCCTGAACCCCCCCGTCTTGCTCGGGGTCCCCTGCAGGGTGCCAGGCACTGACGGGCCCCGCGGAGGCCAGCGGGCCCCTGGGGGGCACTTTAGTGGTGACCTGCGCCTACGAGGCGGAGCAGGCGGAGGCCGAGAAATACTGGTGCCGCGGGCACGTCTGGCTCTTCTGCTCGGTGCTCGTGGCGGCGGCGGGCGCCGAGGCGAGCGCCGAGCGGCTGCGGCTGCGCGACGAGCGTGCGCGGCGCCTCTTCACCGTGACCATGCAGAACCTGACGGCGGGCGACGGGGACACGTACTGGTGTGGGATCCGGCAGCCCTGGCACGATGCCATGGTTCCCGTGGTGGTGACCGTCCTCCCAGGTGAGCCCTTGGTGGCCCCGGGGCTCCCCACTGCACCCGGCAGCCCTGGGGCCGGGCCAGGAGGTGAGGATCGGTGCCAACAGGTCCCATGCTCCCTCCATTCCCGCATATTCCCGCTGCAGCGTCCCACACAACGGACCACTATGTTTACACAGCGCAGGGCTACGAGCTCACGACTGCTGCCAGCTCCCCATCGCATCCCCCGGAGCCGGCCAGCACCACGGCCACGCTCAACAGCAGTAGCCCGTGGGCAGGGTGAGCTCGCGAGTGGGACTGACCCGTGCGGGTATCAGCCCTGGGGGTTAGGAACCCGTAGGGCATCTCTGGGCAGAGAAAGCTCTGATGATAGTGAATTCCTGCATCCCTCCCTTGGGAGCTGCTTTGGTCCCTGAGAAAAATAGGGTGATTCTTACCACTGCTGCTGCCGAGCATGCCTGGGTTTGCATGTGCATGTGTGGGTACTTCTGGCCAGGAAACCGGGGAGAAATCCAGGAGCCTGCTACAAAAGAGGCCAGGGAAGGCTTTGAAGACACTGCTTTCCAGAGGGATTTGCACAGCTGCTCATGCACTATGTGTTAGACGCACATATGAGAGCTGGAAAATCTCCCTGCTGGAGCGTCCTTCCCGCCTGCAGAGCCTAAATCCCTGCAGCGTGAATCCCCTTGTAGAACCTGGGTGCCGGGATCCCCCCTTACGTCCTGGAGGGAGCATGGAGGGGGTTGTCCAGAAGAGCAATAACAGAGGTTTCTGCCCTACCAGTGTCCTCAGTGTGACCGTCTTGACCCTCACGTTGCCCACTGTGCTGGTCCTGAGCATCATTGCTGGCCTCAGGCTGCAAAGAGCATCGCGAGGGAAGAGCAGCAGTAAGAGCACAGGGGTGGCCGTGGGGTCCCCGGAACGTGTCCCCCAGGCCCGGGCACACCTTCCTCAGAGGGCACTGCCCGGTCCTTCCTCTTCCTCCCCGGAGGGCTCCCGGTCTCCCTGGCTTTAAGCCTCTCCAATGCAGGGCTGCCCCTGAGGTCAGGGCAGCCCGGAGGGAGCTCCACGGACACCCCTGGGAAGAGTTGGGCACCTCTAGGAACTGCCCTTTCCAAGGTCTGAGCTGCTTCCCTCTGCAATTCCCCACAGCCGTGGGCAGGACGGGGCACAAGGATGGCCGGGTACGGCAGCACGGAGGGGCTGCTCGCCCGAACATCTACGCCAACGTCGTGCAGGAGCTCGGCTCGTCCCAGTACGACTACGAGAACGGCCCCAGCGCGCGCCAGGTACAGCGGCTCCGCGGCAGGGCACACAAGGACTCTTCACGCCCAAACCCTTCAGGCCCTTGGGACCTGAAGAGGTCCAACGTCCAACCCTGGACACTACCGAGACCCAGGTCTGGGCGAGGACAGCAGCTTCTTCCCTTTTCTCTCACGCTTTAGGACTCAGCAAGGAGATGCGAAGCTTCCTCCTCCGTCAGGAAAGGCTCCGCTGCGGATGCCCAGCCCATCTACACGAACATGCCCCCGGGCGCGCTGCGCTCCGGCCCGCGCTGCCAGAAAGCGCGGGGGGCTCGGAGAGCTTCTGCTGAAGCCCCCGCTCCAGGGCTGCTGCCCCCTGCCCTGCCTTGGAGGTGACGTCCCTGGGGACTCCTTGGAGACAGGAGCCCGAGGGCGCTCCCAGCACATCCTTCCCTCCCAGGTTTCATCAAGACCCAGGGCAGCCCAGGGATGTGGCTTTGGGGATGGCTCTGCGGCCTCATTTAATAAAGCAGTCAGCAGTGGCATACTGAGAGTGTCCTGAGAAATCCCTTTGGTCCCTGCTGTTGCTCACTGCAGAAGGGATGCCCAGGTGGTTCCCCACCAAAGCAGGATAAGTTACCAAAATCGGTCAGTTTTGGGGTCAGGGGACCCTTTTTGTTCAGACTGTGGGTTTGGGGAGCCCTTGTTTGGGGAGCAGGTCCCCAGAGGGTCAGAGGCGGTGGCTCCTGGTCGCACATGTGGCCGCCCCAGCCGTAGAGAGCAGCTTCCCACACACGCCCTGGTGCATCTGGTGTCTGCAGAACTTTGTGCGTGGGAGTTTCACAGCCCAGCGCCTTGTTCAAACTCGCTGCTTTCCCCCCATGCCACGAGGTCTTCAAACGAGAGCAGTTCCATATTTGGGGCATTTTTTTGGAAAAAATCCCAAATCGGGGGTTAAAAGCCCAGCTTCTCCAGCCCAGACTCTGAACTGCTGGTGGCTGGAGCAGACCTGGCACCCAGGGAGCTCCAGTCCACCGAGCTGCAGCTCCTGCTGCTTTGCCTTTACCGAGGGCTTCCCTGCCCTTCCCCAGCTCCTGCATCACCTTTGCAGGACCTGGGACACTGGACGGCTCCGGGGAAAGTCCCGGTCTCCTCCCCTGCTCAGACAGATCTTCTCATGAACCCACATGTGATTGCACGGTGCAAAAGGGAAACAAACAGCAGTTGTGGAAAGAGGAAGAAACCCAAAGCGGACACAGGGATTGGAGCCCCAAGGGGTTCTCAGTGCAATCCTGGTCCTGTGAGCTGCAAAAATCCCTTCCCCCTGGGGCCGTTTCACTCCGGTTTGGTGCACGGGCTCCTCATGCTGTGCATGCCCAGCGCCTGCGTTTCTGCAGCCCTCTCAGCTCCGGAGAGCTCCGAGCAGCCGCCTCCGTGCAAGGGCTTCCCAGCCGCTTTGCTCGCTGCAAAGAGCATCTCAGAGGCTGCTCAGCCACAGCCAAACCCCCCCAGTGCCTCAGCGAGGCTCTTCCAGCTAAAAATAACGTGGTCGCCGTGCCGAGCGAGGAAGCGGCGAGCGCAGCGCAGCCCCGCACGCCATCCAGCGCGTGACCCCGCGCGGAGCAGAGGGTCCGCGGCAGCGCCGGGAGAAGCTCCCCGGCCCCAAGGACCATGCGGGTGTCCCCAGGCTGGCTCCTGCTGCCAGGTGAGGACCAGCTCATTCCGTGCTGGCGGCTGAAGGAGCCCCGATTATCCCAGCCCGGGGCTGAAGGGGCTCGCCAAAGGATCCTTTGCCCAACGGGAGCTGCTCCGAGGATGAGGAGGATGCGGCAGCAGGGGGTTCCTCTGCAGTTTGCAGGGCTCTGGTGGTCCCCAAGGAGGTCAGCGGGAGGCTGGGCGAGAAGCTCTCCATCCGGTGCTGGTACCCCCGGGGCTACGAGAGCTACCCCAAGTACTGGTGCCGTGGGGCCTCGCGCGACTCGTGCCACAAGGTCGCGGCGACGGCGGAGCCCGTCACAGCGCGGCCGCGCGGCCGCCTCGCCGCCACCGACCTCCACGTCTTCTGCGTGCTGCTGCTCACCGTGGAGCGCCTGGCCGAGCAGGACGCGGGCACCTACTGGTGCGGCATCGAGAGGCTGGGCAGGGACCTCATGGAGCCCGTCACCGTGACCGTGCTCCCGGGTGAGTTCTGCCCCAAGCGGGAGCTCCCGCTGGAGGCAAGAGGCCGGCAGAGGGGGAAATTCTGGTCTCTGGAGATTCTCCTGGGGATGGGCTGGAAAAGATTGGGGATGGGCTGGAAAAGTCGCTGGGCAGAGCTGGTTCTACGGGGGCTGTAGGACCCTAGGGCTCTGGGGACAGCCCACCAAGAGGAATCCCAGGGACCCAGGGGCACCAGCTGGAGGCAGTAAGGGCAGATTCCCGTCTGCTGCCAGCAGCGCTGGGGAACTGGCACCACCTGCAGCCTCCAGCTCCCCGGAGGACCTGGCTGATGCGGCTCCATCGGCTGCCTCAGCAGCTCTCACCACTGCCCTGGCAGAGTGGACGCTCACGGTCTCCACTGTTGCAAACGGGACAGAGTTTCCCAACACCACCAGCGTGGCCACCCAGGACACCAGGTGGGTCTGAAGACAGGCCTGCGCTCTGCGCAGCCTTGGGAAGTGCTGGAGGGCCCTCAGGCCTGGGGCGTTATGGCCGGGCTTACATTCCCACCTGGGGAAGCCAAGGCCAGACTGTTTTCCCTGCCTCATGCTCCATGGTGGAGCTGCCTGGGGGTTGACGCCGTCACTAGCACGGGGGGATGCTGCGGAAGCAGAGTGTCACCCTGAGGAAGGAGGGAAGGGCTCCTGCTCCTCTTCCTCTCAACTTTCACCTCTGCCAGGCCAACCGTGACCATCGTGGTGCCCACCGTGGTGCTGGTCCTCCTGGCTGCCACCGGCTCTGCCGTTGCCTGGATCCTTGTCCGTAAGAGGATGGAAGGTAAATGTGGCCCATACTCCATAGCCTGGGTCCTGCCTGGAGCTGAGCTCCTCACGCTGGGACAAACCTGCCTCAATAGAGCTCGTGGCTGCAGAGGCTGGGGGGGAGATCTCATCTTCCGCAGGTTCAGGGATACAGGACACCCCTGGAGAGGCTTCCTCCTGGACACAAGTAGGTTTTGATGTGGTTTTGCTTCTTTCTTTCTCCTTTTATTCCCCCCTCCCTGCAGCCCGGAGGAGACCCTCTGAAGAAGCCGTCCGCTTGGAACAGCACAAGGTGGCTATGGGCTGGCAGGTGAAGGGTGTCCCCAGGGAGGCACCCGGGCTCAGGGCAAGGACGGTGCCAGCTCCACGGCCACTGGGGTTGTGGATCCAGCAGGTCCACATGTCCCTATGGCGGGAGGGTGGCACCCGGGATGTGGCTCCAGCACATCCCCATGTCCCCATGGCAGGAGGGTGGCCCTCGGGATGTGGCTCCAGCACGTCCCTGTGTTCCCATGGTGGGAGGGTGGCACCTGGAACATGACTCCAGCCCATCCCCATGGCGGGAGGGTGGCGGGACCCACAGCAGGGCTGCGGCAGCTGCAGGCAGCCGGTGCCACCAGCCGGGGCGTCTGTCCCCCTCTAGTGACTGACGCTCGTGTGGCCCCAGCTGCTGCTTCGGGCTCAGCGGGGACGTGCACTGGGCTGCAGCCGGCACGTCCCGGCGTGGGGACAGGGACAGTGTCACCCTCACCCTGCCCCTTCCAGGCTCCCAGGGACGCACGGGCCCTGTGCAGCAGAGCCAGGGCGGTCGCCGCGGCGGAACCCGACGTCTACAGCCGCTCCCTGGCAGAGGTGGGTGAGAGCTGCAGGGGCCCTGGGGACACCCTGGGGACACCCCCTGGCCATGCTGAGTGTCCCTGCTGTGGCCAGGGCCCCTGGGACCCGCCACCACTGGCCCCTCACAGAGCGGTGGCAGCCAGCACCGGCACGGAGCAGGAGCCTGTGCTGCAGGGTGAGCAGCTCTACGAGAACAGCCCGCACGAGGACACCCTGCACGAGGACACCCCGCACGAGGACACCCCACACAAGGACACCCCGCACGAGGACACCCCGCACGAGGACACCCCACACAAGGACACCCGCTTCTACGAGAACTCCCGCTGGCTGGAGCAGGTGAGTGTGGGGACAGCCCGGGGCCACCGAACGCCACCCAATGGGGGCATCCCCACCTGAACCTCCTTGGGGCATCTCAGAGCCCTTGAGCTCTTCAAGGGATTTACTCAAAGGTTTCCTGGGAAGTTGCAAGGTCCCGGGAAGCTGGGCCAGGATTTGTAGGGGTAGAATAAGACCTTTTTCCTGCGGCTTTTTGCTGAGCATCCCAGGAGGGTCTGGGCTGGCTCACGGGCAGACCGGTCCCCGTGGGGGGATGTCCTTGTCCCCGGGCAGTAGCCAGAGGATGCAGGGCTCTGCTCTCCCGGCTTCCCCCATCCCTGTGCTCCTTGCAGGCTCCTGGATGCCAGGAAGAGACAGACGGGCACTAGAGGCTGCAGCCGCCGACTCTTCTCCTCCCTTGCTCACCGCTGTGCACAGCGCTCCCGTCTCCAGGGGCCCAAGGAGGCTCCTGCCTCCCCATGCAGCTTCACTGGACCTTGCCCTGGCTGCTCAGCAACCATCCCACACCCGGAGCAGGATCCCGCATCCCAGCGCCGGGATCTGCCAGCACCTGTATTGGTTACCTTGAGCTGAGATGAGCAATAAAGAGCTGTCCCCCCAGCCAGTCCGTGTCCGTGTCTCCGGTGGCAGCGGGCGGTCTCTCCGTACAGGGGCATCCCTGCAGCTCCCGATGGGGCCATCACTGAGGAGGACCCTTGAGGGCACCCTGACTGCCCGGACGCCTGGGCCCATGGCCTGGCCGGGCTCTGGTGCAGCAGGGCACTCTGTTTCCCTGGTTTTCACAGCAAAGTGGCTGCCGTCACAGCGGTGGGTCACGAGACGCTGCCGCGGTGACTCACGCTCCCTGGAATTGGGGAGGAAGCGACGCCCCCAGCAGGCAGCGAACGCCCCCGGGCAGTGACCAGGGTGCCCACAGGGCCCGAGGAAGTGACAGTCAGAGGGAGCACTTGGGACACCCACTCCGGCCAGGACACTCGTAGAGGCTCCGCTGCACGGGGCACTTCATGTATGACCATGGGGACAAGATCTCATCAGAAGGAGGAAGCCAGAAGATGTGGATGTTCCTCATTTTGGCCCTTTTCTCAGGTGAGGTGCCCAGCTCGGCTCCCTCCCAGACCCGCTGCCCATCCCTACATGTGCTGAGCCCTGTGCCCTGCCCGGCAGGCGCCAGTGCTGCCACCGTGACGGGTCCCCGCTCCGTTTATGGCAAGACCGGCGAGTCCGTCTCCGTGCCCTGCAGCTACGAGCCGGGCTACGAGCTCTACCCCAAGTGCTGGTGCCGCCGGTTCTTCCACTTCTGCATCGCACCCATCCTCTGCACCAACGACACGGAGAGCTGGGTGAGGGAAGGCCGGGTGTCCATCGAGGACGACCGCACATCGCGCACCTTCACGGTGACGCTGTGGAGCTTGGTGCCGGCCGACGCGGGTCGCTACTGCTGCAAGGTGCCCAAGGTGCTGTGGTTCGACCCGTGCCACGCCACCAAGCTCATCGTCTCGGCAGGTAGCACCGGGGCAAAGGAGGCGGACAAGGAGCAGCCGGAGCCTCTCGGCAGCCAGTCCTTGGGTGGCTCTGTCCCCTTGGAGGACAAGCCCCTTTTCCCCACATCCCTCGCTCTCCCCACCTGGCTCTGACCCTCTGCTTCCTTGCAGCCGTTCCGCACATGACAGGGGCCGGCAACCTGGCAGCGGAGCCACGGCCTGGGGACAGGAGCCGCTTTGCGCCCTCCGCTCCGTTCCCCACAGGCTTCATGGAGCCTCCAGTGCTGTGAGTGAGGCTGGCGGGTACACATGGAGGCAGACCCGGCCCCTCCGCGCATCCTGCGTCCCGCTGCCTGCAGGGGCCCCAAGAGCATCCCGGCGGCAAAGCAGCACCCTGGGTCACACCCGCACTGCCCAGAGGCGGCCTGAGAAGCCTGCATGGCTCTTCCCTCCCAATGGCCATGGGGACCTCAGAAAGGCTGTGGGCACCGTGTGGGGCTGGGTCTCCCCTCCAAGGTTCTGAGCCCCTCTTCTCCTCAATGGACACTCCAGCTTCTCCGTCCTTTCTCCCAGGTCCCAGCTCAGCACCACCTACTTTCTGCTCTTCCTCGGCGCCAAGGTGCTCGTGGTGCTGGCCTTGGGGTGCTGGGGCTGGCACAGGAGCCGCCGGGCGTCCCCGCAGCCACACACGGCGCCCAGCAGCACCGGTGCAGCCCCATTGCGCGTCCCCGCTCCGCGCCCCGCACCCCAGCAGCGACCAGCGGCGCCCCCCGCGCTGCCCCACGGCAGGAGCTGCCAGGCACCGGGCGCTGCCAGCTCTGCACCCCTGCCAGCACCCCCTGCGCCGCCCCGGCGCTGGCCGGAGCGCGGATCCGTTGGGATGGGACACACCGCCTGTGCCAGGATGCCCCCGGGGTAGCGGCTCCGGAGGGCCCGGCGATGCTGCTGCCTCCGCTGCCGTTCTCAGCCCGGGTGAGGACGCTGCCCGCCCACCTCGGCTCCCTGGTTCGTGCCCTCCGAAAAGGAGCCCCCGTGGCACTGAGCGGGCTCCGGGAGCCTGGGTGCAAAGCCACCGTTTCAGATGATTAAAGACACTCCTGCCTTACAGCTTCCGTATGTCCGTCTGTCTGCCTGCTGTGAGCTACAGCTGTCTGTCTGGCGCCATGGCCACTTCTCAGGGCAAAATGGGAGCTTTGCTCCGTTCTCCCTTGGTTTGCGGAACCGAGATGCCGGCACCGTCGGGGCACTCGCAAAACAGGAACCCGGAGCGAGCTGCGGCCCCGCTTGCAAAATCGCCGCCGCGGCCACAGTGCCTGCGCTCTGCAAAGCGCCCGGCGCCAGGCGGAGCTCCGGGTTCCTGAGGCTCCAGGAGCTCCGGGTGGGCTCAGGGCACCGCGGGGTCCCCATGCTGACCTGCTGCTCGCTGGGCGCTCCAGGTGAAACGGTGCCAGCAGCAGCCTCAGCATCCGCAGCTCCTGCATGGCCAGCAGGGATGGAGGCTCCGGGCTCCATCCCGGGCTCTGGGAGAGGGGTTGCTGCTTCACCGACGCTCCCATGCACCAGGGCTCAAAGCCCCAAGCCCGCTCCCTTCTGCCCAGTGCATGTCCCCCAAGGTGACCGGGTCCTGTTGGGGTGTTCCATGGTGCAGGGCTGCCTGAGAGGATCTGTGTCCATGGAACGCCGCTGTGAGGAAGGTTGGAGCTGGCCCCCAAATTCTGGTGCAGGCTGGGCCAGTTGTTCACTTGCTACAGTGGCGGCTGCCTGGGGGTCACGTCCCCATGGTGGTCCCACATGCATCACAGCCACTTCGCCACCATGGATGAGCACTCCTGGGGCACCTTCCATGGCACCGTGTGGAATGTGTCCCACGAGGACACCAGCACCACCTCCGCGAGGCCACACTGCACTGGAGGGATGTCAGCCATGCCAGGGAGGTGATCGTGGCCATGGGTGAGCACCCCGGGATGTCCTCAGGGCCGGTGGGGAGGCTGAGGCCACTGGACAAGGGAGGAGATGCTTTATCCCATAGATAAGCTGCTTTTGCCAAGCATTCCCCCAATGAAAAGGGAAAATGTGCCCTTGCCTGTCTCCTCACCAGATGAAAGGTCTGGTCCTCGCAGCATCTCCTGGAGCTCACAGTGATGCCTGGTCCTTCCCCGGGCACCGCTCGCCTCCGGCTGCTGCCCAGCCCCACACGCTTCCCCATTGCTGTGGGATGGATGGAACCGTCAAGGCCAGAGCTCTTGATGGTGCCGGCAGCCGCTCTGTGAGAGGGATTGGGTTTGGGCCAGAGGCCAGTCCATGGATGTAGAAGATGGACTGTGTGACACCCAGGCCAGCTCTGGCACCTAGGTGTGGGCTACACGGTGCTTTGTATTTTGTCCTATCTGTAACCCTCACAGCCTCAAGCCCTGCCCTTTCCAAGAATGTCTGCCTAAGGGTTTGGCCAACAACATGTTGGCTTTAGCAAGTCAATATCAAGGATGACAGGAGCAAGAGAAGACCATGAGGGTCATGGTGTTTCCAGGGGACAAAAGATAGGAACAAGAGATGGGGCTGGGGAGGGAAGGAGGCCTGGAAAGACCCAATGAAGGCAGCAGATGAGGGACCACCAGCTCCAGCAGGACCATCCCCTGACCTGAGGGGATACGCTGAGCATGACAGCAAGGACAGGTGCTCATGCCCACATGCACAGGGACATGTGACTGCTCACGGGGACAAGTCCGGGGTTTCCATCTCTGCAAGGAGAGTCTCTCCCCAAGAGAGCTGTGTGCCCATGCCAGGAGCACTGTGACACCTTGCTGCCCAGTCCAGGCAGGGGCACATTTGGGGCTCAGAAGCTACCTCCAGAAGGGCAGGGGTCCCCAGGCTATGTGCCCACCTGGCTGGTGACAGTGCCAACCACAGCACAGTGCCAAGGAGTTGCAGGAGACAGAGCCCCAAGGGTTCCCTCTGGTTATTGGGTCTGCCCTAGGAGGAAAGGGAAGAACAGCGCAGGCAAATCAACCAGGGAGTAACTGGACAGCAAGGGGCAGGACAAGCGCATGGTGATTACTAGCAAAGAGGGGAGGGCAGGAGATTAACAACAATTTAGAGGAAACGGAGGAACCAGGCTGACCTCAGCCGTGACGGTAAAGAAAGGGGAAGCAGAGGACCGGGGTCTGAGCAAAGAGGTGCCCGTCAAGCAGAAAGGCTGGCTGAGCGCCGCGGCACCAGGGCCATGGGGACCCCCTGGCTGCTCCCCGCGCTGCTCCTGCCAGGTGAGGCTGAGGGGAGCGCGGGGGCCTGGAGCAGCCGGGCCAGGCAGTGCCAGGTACCAGGCGGCACCTCGCACGTCTCTCTGTCTCCGCAGGCTGCTGGGCACTGACGGGGCCCACCTCCGTGCACGGATTCGTCGGGGGGACCCTCTCGGTGTCCTGCAAGTACGAGGATGGTTTGGAGACAAATGAGAAGTTCTGGTGCAAACCAGGAAACATTTATGCTTGTGCTGGTCCTTACATCATCGCGACATCGGAGCGCAACTCCTTCGTACGTAAGGACAGAATCTCCATCTGGGATGACCGAAGGCAGCGGGAGTTCACGGTGACCATGAGCAACCTGACCGAGGTGGACACGGGCACCTACCTGTGCGGGGTGTGGAGGCCAATTCGTAATGACAGACACATAGTGAAGGTGAATGTGCTCCCAGGTAGGTTGGTTTGGGTTCCCTGAGCCAACACTGCTCCCCGCTGCTGAAGTAGAAATGCCCGTAGCAGGGGTTGCCCAAAGGGTGACTGAGGGGAGGTGGGATATCCCATCCCCATGGGGCAGCCAGGAGATGTGTTAGCTGCGTCTGATGGTTGCTGCAGTCAGCCTGCATGGCGCATTTCCCCATGGCCCCTTCTCAGTGCCCAGCCCTCCCATCTCAGGTTTGTGCTTTCTTTTCACCCTGCTCTCCTTGCCCTCCTTCCTCCTCAGATCCTCCTTTTACAGTTTGGGCTCTCCTGGACATTTCTTTCCAGCATCAGGGAATCCCTCCCTCCCCCAGGCTGCCTGACCCCCTGGGGCCGGGGACCCAGCGTGTCCGAGCTGGGGCTTGGGCAACATCCCTTGCCCTGCCGTGTACGGGGTGCCCGGACCCTGTCCCTGAAGCCGTGTGCACCTTGGTGCGAGCAGCTCGACGAGGCTGCCGAGCCCCTGCTGTGAGAAGCCCCCGGCAGGGCAGGGGCTGGAGCCCTCCCGCCCCGGGGAACGTGCTGCGGGGCTGCATCTGCCCCCATGGTCACTGCGTCTCCTCTGCCTCACTGCCAAAGCTGCAGCGTTTCCTTGAGGAAGCAGAGTCGGGCTGAGCCTCGCCTCATCTTCTTTGCTTTCTTTCTTTTTATTTCTTTCAGCTTCTTTGCCCTCCTGTCCCCCAGAAACAGAATCTTCCTCGAGTGCAGACCCCCCTGCTCTCACTGCCTCCACGTCAGTGCTCACTGGGGCATCTCCCCAAGAGAAAACTGCTAAGAAAGAGAGACCCATCCAGCCTCCCACCGGAGATCCCAGGGCTGCACAGTGAGTACAGGGACCACCCATGCCAGGAGCTCTGTCCTGCTGCTGGCGGTGGCCACCTCGACCACCTCCACATCTCCAGTCTCACGTTAGAGGATCCTCGTAGATGCTGCTGGTGCAGCTGGAACCTGTGGGATCTTCTCACCCTCCTGTAAGGGTTCAGACCTTCTGCTTTAGAGACCAATATGGCCGTGAGCCAGCAGCCCTGCTTGGAAAATAATCTGGGCACCTCTGATGGTCTGGTCCCACCAAAGCCCTATCCGCCCACTGCATTGCCTGCAGCTTAAGCGAGATGCAGGATGTGACCAAACCAGAAGTGGTTTCTGACTGCAGGGGTAATGCCATTTCATTCCCCAAAACCAAGAGGGACCGTTGGCCTGCAGAAAGTTGAGCATGGCCGCGGTGGGGCCCTCTTTTACTGCACAGTCACATGTAAATTCACACATGTGGTTGACAGAGGGTGAGATCAGAGAGGCAGAACTTCCCCGTTTGCCTGCCGTACTCCTAGAGGTGATGCAAGAGGAGGAGAAAGACGAGGCTTCCCAGCAGCGTGTTCACGGGTAGCCGCATTAGCTTTGCCTAGTTGCTCACTACAAGAAAGTTCAACAAATAATAGAACTAAACTAGATACAAATCCCACCCAGCGAGTGATCCTTATGTAGTCTTCAAAACACAGCAGCTCTTGCAACCGACTGTGTGTTCTTAGTTTGGTTTGCTCTGTCTCCAGCTTGCAAACGGAAAATCAGTGAGCCTTGGTATCAAGGCGTTAGGTCAAGCAGAGCAGTCACCTGATGGTGCTCTGTGGCACTTAGTGCAGATTTTGCTGCCGAAGGGGAAGTGTGAGAGCAGAAACTCTTCTTTTCTTGCAGCTTGGACCTGGTCATGGACGTCCTGACTCCGTGCATCGTGGTGGTTCTTCTTTTGCTTGTGCTTGCTGCTGGCGTCTTGGTTAAGCTGTCCAGGAAGAGGAAGAAAGGCAGGTGAAACAGTGCCTATCACCCTGAGATAGGCACAGTGCTTTGGTGCTGGAGTCTATTTTTCACTCTATTTGTGTTCTTTTTCTCCATTCTCTCTTTGATCCATGCCATTCCTCGGCTCTGTGGGGTGACTCCTCTGCTTTGGTGGCCTTGTGACCAAGAGGAGAAGAGCTGGGGGGTCTCCTTAAGCAGAGAGAGCAGTGGGACCGCTGTCCTGCTGCCCATGGCCGAGCTGACCCGCGTGCTGGCTGCACACGTGTGCCCTTCTGCCAGGCTCGCCAGTGCTCACATGCAAAGTTCGAGACCAAAACAAAGGCGGGGGATGGTTACAGACAGGATCTGGTTGTGTTTAAAGACGACCTTTGGTTTTAGAGGCGTACCAGAGATGGGTTTTAGAGGCGTACCAGAGATGGGTTTTAGATGGTAATGCAGCAGCGGGTTCCCTTCCTGCCCGCGCGGCTCCAGCACGTTTCGGAGCCTTGGGTTCAGCCCTGCTCCTAACCACGGCCGTGTCTCCCCAGCCCTGGCCGCAGCACCCATAGAGATGCACATGGAGCGCAGCGCCTCGCACACGGTAAGGGCTCCCTTGCTCCAGCCACCCTACAACAAGCAAAAGCAGCCGGTGGAACCGAGCGTGGAATTACATCCAGGGGGATCCTTACGGGTTGATTTGCCAGCAGAGTTGCCTGGCTTGGTGCAACCGTTGTGGAATTTGGGATGGGGATGGGTGGTTTCCCTCCAAGTTCTTCACAGGTGGGGACCAGCTTCCCTGGGTAAAACTTGCTTGGGAACCTGCTGCAAATGCCCTGGGAAGAAGCTGTGGGTTCATTTACACTCAGTGCTCCTGCGGCCGCGCTGGGATGCCCGGTGGCTGCGTCAGCCCCAGTGCCCGCAGCTGGATCCAACCCCTTGCCTTTAACCTCCTGCGCTTGGCGCACGGGCAGGTTTTACCCCTGGCAGCACTTGGGCACAAAGCGCCCTGATGCCAGCACAGCTCTCCTGGGTGGTGTCCTCAGGGTGCCGCGCGTGCCGCGTTGCAGGGCACCGAGGGCAGCCTGCAATACGCTGAGCTCGCTCACCCGGCTGCGGCGGAGGACGGCCGCGTGTACGGCAACGTGAGGGCTGCCCAGAGCCCGGCGGGCACCGAGACCGGCTACACGGAGATCCGCCCGCGGCAGCAGGTAGGGCAGCGCCCGCGGCACGGGGCCCGGCAGGGACACGAGAAGGAGCGTGGCGTGGGAAAAGGGAAGAAGGACATGAGTGGGGAAAAGGGCTGCCATTAGGGGCAGGGTGGAGGCCGCACGAGGAGGAGGTTTCCATGGGGAAGTGCCGCTTTGCACACGAGTGACCCCGGAGCGCGGGGGCCAAGGGGGCTCCGGCAGGCGGCACAGCAGGAGCGTTTCCCTAGGGAAACCCAGCGAGCTGCAGGCTCCTCAGGTGGAGCAGCAAGGGCTCCCTGTCGCTTTTATGCTCTCCACAGAAGCCGGAGTGGGGCTTTCCCCACCCCACCTGCCCTTTTTTATTTCATTTCTTTTCTCAGAGCTCCCAAGAGGAGGAAGGGGCGGCTTGCGGCACGGCGAGCGCCCTGTCCCCGGAGCAGCAGGACCTCTACTGCAACGTGCAGCGGGCCCCGCGCCCCGCGGAGCCGCTCTACAGCACCGTGCTGAAGCCGCGGTGAGAGCGGCTGGCACCGCAGGCAGAGCCGAGGCCTCCGGAGGCTCCAGGGGACAGGCAGAGCGGCTGGAAAAGCGACACGGTGCCTCCCGCAGGCTCTCTTGGAGCAGCCTCCCGCATGGAGGCCGAAGCCGCACGGGAGGCTCGCAGCCCAGCAAGGGAGACGTCGGCCCTGTGCATTTGGGCACCTCACACCCAACGCCACAGCGGTGCTGGGGGGGGAAAAGGAAAAAACAACCCCAAAAGTTGCATTTGGGCCAAGGCAGAGAGCAGACGTGCAGCATGTCTGGCTGCGGTCCCGCTGCTCCCGTGCGGATTGGGCCAGCCTGCCACGAGCAAGCGAGATTCTCCAAACCCCGGCAAGCCCTGGGCCTCTCCCTGCAGCATTTCCTAGCTCAGGGCCCTTTATTTATCCTGACAACTCCTTTCTCTGCAAAACAGATTGTGGGGGACATACTTTTCTTTTTTTTTTTTTTGGGTGTGTTTTGAGTGTCTTTAGAAGTTGTTTAAAAACTGAGTCTTTTTAACTGCTGGAAACATTTGATTTGGGGATTTTTGCAATTACTATTTCATTCAAGGAGGCGAGCGCAGCGTTTCTCCTTTCTCAAAGCTGGAAATTCACGCTCGCGGCTGCGGCTCTTCCCCCACCTCTCGGTCAGGGTCAAAATTCTTCCCATTTTCGGTCAGAAGTGACAAACACCCCAAACATTGCTTGTTCCCCAGCAGCACAGGGCTGCTTTTCTGGGTGAAGGAGAAACTGCTGGAGACACACACTGCTGCAAATTGTAAGGAAAATGAGCAGGTTTCAACTGTCACTGTAGACCAAGGGATGCTCCAGGCATCTTCTGCCTGGAAAGGGATGTCCTGAGCCTCATTCCCAAAGCCCTGTTCCCTTCTCCACCTTCCCCCTGCCTTTCTCTTGTCCATATTTTATGCACTACCCGCCCTGTAGCTCATTCAGCTGCAAGGAGGACAACTAATGACCCGCTGCCCCCAATTAGCTCTCATTAGCAGTTAAGCAGCAGTGAGCAGGGGAGAGCAGTTCCCAGGGCTAGAGGAGGGCTGAGAGGGGCAGAGTCTCATTTGGGCATCCCAGCCCAGTTAGGCTTGGTCTGTTTGTGCTATTGCTCTGGGGTTTTCCAGGAAAGCTGAGCAGGAGCCGATTCTTATCGCCACAAGGTTCCTCTTCCTCTTTCCTTGGGGACAGCCAGAGTTCATGGTGGGAAATGCAGCTCGCACTGCGGGACGTCGCTGCAGCGTGGAGCAGCCACATCCCATCCCTGTGGGACGCCCATTAACCCTGCAGCCGTGCTGGGGCTCCTGGAGCATCTAAGCTCAGGAGTTTGTTTATTTTGGGGTGGGGGTATTATTTTTTAACGTCTAAGCTTGGCAGCTCGTGCAAGGATGGGCTCGCGGCTGGGAGCACGTGAGCGCAGGACAAACTGAAACCTGGTGCTAATTCCTGGGTGGCTCCATTTAGCCGCGCTGTGGCCCTGGCAGCAGCGCCGTGACGTGGCCCTGGCAGGGGGGCGCTCAGCAGAAAGAGGATGTGGCTCCAGGACAGGCTTGGTGGGAGCTGAGCCCCGCTCCCGCGGTTCCCGCACTGCTGTGAGACACCCGCTTAGGACACCTTGGCAAAAGGTCACAGGGCTCTGCGAGGCTACGAATCTCATCGCATCTCAGTGCGGTGCAAACCAGAATGGGCTGAGTCTGCTTCTGTTTCTTTCACTAGAAGTGCAAGCTTTGCACTGGCCTCACCAGGCACCCAAAACCCCTCCCTCGCCCAGCCCAGCTGCAGGCAGAGCTCCTTTCAAATGACTTGAAATATGCCAGAAGCTTTTCTTAATTTTCTTTACTTCACTGGAGTGTGTGCTGTGCCTCTCGCCGCAGTTTGGACCATGTCTTCTCCTTCACAACATCCATCGCCTGAGCAGCCTTGGCCCCAATGTGCCCTGCAAGCCTCCCCATTCTGTTAGTGGAAGTGTGAGCACGGTCCCTATGGCTCTATCTGGCCGCCACATGTTGCATTTCATAGAACCACAGAACCCTTAAGGTTGGAAGGGACCTTTAGAGCTCACCCAGTCCAACCCCCTGCACACGCAGGGTCACCCAGAGCACGGGGCACAGGCTGCATCCAAGCGGATTTTGAAGCTCTCCAGAGAAGGAGACTCTACAGCCTCTCTGGGCAGCCTGTGCCAGGGCTCTGGCACCCTCATTGTGAAGAAATTTTTCCTTAAGTTCCTGTGGAACTTTGGGTGCTTCAGTTTGTGGCTGCTTCCTCTAGTTCTATCAGTGGCCACCCCCTCCTCCTCACTGCCTCCATGAGGTATTTATAGACACTGATCAGGTCCCCCCTCAGCCTCCTCTTCTCCAGGCTGGACAGGCCCAGCTCCCTCAGCCTTTGCTCCTAGGGCAGATGTTCCAGGCCCCTGATCATCCTGGTAGCCCTGCGCTGGACTCTCTCCAGCAGCTCCACATCCCTCTTGTCCTGGGCAGCCCAGAGCTGGACACAGTCTCCAGATGTGGCCTCACCAGGGCTGTGTATAGGGGACGATCACCTCCCTCGACCTGCTGGAGATGCTTTTCTTAATGCACCCCAGGATCCCGTTGGCCTCTTGGCCACCAGGGCACACTGCTGCCTCATGGTCAACTTGTCATCCACCACGACGCCCAGGTCCCTCTCTGCAGGGCTGCTCTCCAGCAGGTCAGTCCCCAGCCTGTCCTGGTGTCTGGGGTTATTCCCCAGGTGCAGGACCCTGCCCTTGCCTTTGCATTTGCTCCTCTTTGTCGAGCACAAGCTAAACCCATGGCAGGAAAGGCTTTAATTGCTCTGCTCCCGCTCCACAGCAGCTCCCTGCTGCTGAGAGGCCCGCAGAGCTGCGGCTGGGATGGCAGAGGCCGGTGCTCCCTGCTGCCCTCCAGCTCCGGGGGGTTTCTCCACGCTTGTGCCGGCTTCCATAGGCTCCCTGCGGGGAGGAGGACAAGCCGGGGTGCTGAGCGGCCACGTGGGGATGGGGACGCCGCGAGGCGGTTGCGGAGCGTCCTACCGGCCGAGAGCCTCGAGCGCCGGGCAGCGGAGCCGCGGCTCGTGGCGCAGGGCCCTCCCGGTGCCGCCCAGGCTGGCCAGGGTCCTGCCGACCTGCGGCGCGCGGAGCTCAGGGGTCCCGGCCGGGCACGGCGCCCGCCCGCGCGCGCCCGGCGCTCACCTCCCGCTGCACCGCGGGGCTGCGGTCCAGCTCCAGCAGGTCCAGCAGCGCCGAGAGCACCGCGTCGCTGCGCAGCCCCAGGGTGCCCTGGCGAGGGCACGCGCCAGCCCTGGAGCACCGAGGGCTCACGGAGGGGTCTCCGCAGCCACCAAGGGGGCTAGGACCGGGTGAGGGCGGAGGGGAATGGGGCAGGGGCTTGGGCGTTTAAGCCCGGTTCAGTTTCCGAGGTGCTCGTGCTTCTGCAGGGGTTGCTCGGGACGGCATTCCCGCACCTCTGGGAAGAGGTGGGCCATGGGGTGCTAGTTTTGCTGGGAGGATGCACAGAGTACCGGGCAGCAGGACCGTTGCACTGCACAGCAGCTCGTCCCGTTGGGGGTGCAGAAGCCTCCCCGGCTCCAGCACCGAGCAGCGGCTCCCTCCCCATCCACGCTCGTGTCTGTCCCTCGGCCGCGGGGCACTCCGCAAAGCACCCGTCTCTTTCCCGAAGCGCCCAGGCCCGGCCGGGCACCATGTTCGGGAGCAGCAGGTGTGCAGAGCGTCCCGCGTGCGGCAGGAAGGGGAGAACTGGGCGGTGGGTGCAGAGCAGGGACCCGGGAGGCTGGAGAGCTCTGCGTGGCCTGAGTGCCGCTATAGGAAGGAGGCGCTGCCCCTTCGATGGAGGGAAAAAGCGACCTACCAGCGACACCACCGCCTGCTTTCGCACCAGGGGGTGCTTCGCATGCAGCTGCCTGCAGGAGAAAATGAACAGTGTGCAAGGCAAGGAGACGAGTATCCCCTGTAGCAGAGGCGAAGGACACGATCCGGCATCCCGGATCCCACTCCAGAGTCCCTGGATTTTGCTACGTGCCAGCTCGCCCTGCGTGCGCGGGTTGAAGCCAGCTGCTGAGAGCAGCTCAGTGCTTCCCCAGCACCTGGAGATCCTGCACATCTCAGCCCAGGGGCACGGGAAGGTCCCTGGGATGGTGCCAGCGTCTCTGTCCCCCTTGACCCTTCCAGCCCGAGCCCATGCGAGGCCCTGGCACCCGCCGCGTGCCACCTACTTCTCCACGACGTCCCACATGTGCGTCTTCATGTGCAGCGCCTCGGCGGCCAGGCCCACGCGGCGCCGCACGGCCTGCGGGGACAGGGGTGCAGCGCGCGGCGGGGCAGCGCGC